GAGGAAATAAAAAAATTTTTGATATAGGTCACTTAAGAGTATTTGAAAAAAAAAAAATTTTGTTTTCCAAGCACCGGCAAATGTCAAAAAACAAGAAAATAAAGTGATTTTTTAAGGTTATTTAAAAACGGTAGGTGCTATAAAAAAGTTCTTAATAAAAATTGTAAAGCATAAAGTTTTACATAAAAATGATATTTAGACATTTTTTGATATTATTAAAACTGACAGAGTTAGGGTGGTTAGAAATTAAAAGGAGATATATATGACTTGGAAAAATTCAATGATTTTGTAGGTTTTTTTTTATTATTTACTCAGAAAATTATAAATTTCTTTTAAGAAAAATTATTTTGTTTTTTTAAGTAATAACAATTTTAATTTAGAAATTTTCAATACATTATACGAATTTATATGGTAAAATAAATTTTGAAGTAAACTTATTAGCTTGACTGATGTGAAAAATATGTGAACTAATAAAAACGACATCCCGACAGTTTGATCCCCACTTGAAGTTCCAATAAATAAATAAATAAAAACAAATAAAGAACTAATTGAAAATATAAAAAAAAATATAAATAAAAATAAAGATAATAAACAATTAATAAATAAAAATGAGTAAATTAAAAAAAATATATAAAAATAAGTGAAAAAAACAAAAATATATAAAAAGATAAAAGTAAAAGAAAATAAATAAAAATAATTACAAATAATTTAAAAAATTAAATAAAAATAGGTAATTTATTAAAAATAGAAATTAAACAGAAATAAATGAAAAGATAAATAATGTAAAAAAAAGTAAATAAAAATAAATAAAAAATTAAAAAATAAATAAAAAGAAACAAAAATAAAACAAAAATGAAAAAATATTCATTTTTCAATAACTGAAGAGATAAATAATGTAAAAGAAAGTAAATAAAAAATGAATAAAAATAAAATTAAAATAAAAAAAATATTCATTTATAAAAAATAGAAATAAAAAAAAAAATAAATAAAATTAAACAAAAATAAATATAAATAAAAATAATTAAAACTAAAAAAATAAAAAACAAATAAATAAAAAAATAAAAATAATTAAAACAAAATAAAAATATTTAAAACAAAATAAAAATAATTACAAACGGTTAAAAAAATTAAATAAAAATAAATGAAAAGATAAATATAAAGAAAGAAATAAATAAATAAAAATAAAAGGATAGTTTAAAAAATTAAATAAAAATAGGTAAATTATTAAAAATGGAAATTAATAAAAATAAATAAAATTAATCAAAAATAAATAAAATAAATAAAAGGAAATGGAAAAAAAAAATAAAAATTGAATATTTTTTGTTTTTTTATTTTTATTCATTTTCATTTCTTTTTAATTATTTTTTTTATTTTTATTTATTTCTATTTATTTTTATTTAGTTTTGTTTTTATTAATTTCTATTTTTAATAATTTACCTATTTTCATTTGATTTTTTTAAATATTTATCATTTTATTTTTTATAAATAAATAAAAATGAATATTTTTTATTTTATTTTTGTTTAATTTCTATTTTTAATAAATTACCTATTTTTATTTTTTTAATTAATTTTTTATTTTATTTCTATTTATTTTCTTTTACTTTTTATATATTTTTGTTTAATTTTATTTATATATTTTTTTTATTTAACTATTTTTATTTATGAATTTTTTATCTTTATTTGTATTTTTTTAGTTGTTTTTATTTTTATTTATTTATTGGAACTTCAAGTGGGGATCAAACTGTCGGGATGTCGTTTTTATTAGTTCACATATTTTTCAAGTCAGTCAAGCTAATAAGTTTACTTCAAAATTTATTTTCCATATAAATTCGTATAATATATTGAAAATTTCTAAATTAAAATTGTTATAACTTAAAAAAAAAAAAAAAAAAAATTTCTTAAAAGAAATGTATAATTTTCTGAGTAAATAAAAAAAAAACTACAAAATCATTGAATTTTCAGCTCGGTATGATTTTTCTAAGTCATACATATCTCCTCTTAATTTCTAACCACCCTCTGTCAGTTTTAATAATAGCAAAAAATGTTAAATGTCATTTTTATGTAAAACTTTAAGCTTTACAATTTTTATTAAGAACTTTTTTTGATATCACCTACCGTTTTTAAATAACCTTAAAAAACACTTTATTTTCTTGTTTTTTAACATTTGCCGATGTTTGAAAAACAATTTTTTTTTACGTATCGTTTTCAAATACTCTAAAGTAACTTATACCAAAAATTCCTATATTTCCTCCAAAATTTTGATTTAAAAGTCTATTTGATTGGACTAATTTGATATATTAGGTTTTTGACTTCAGACATTGAGAATATTATACAATATGTTAACTTTTCAAACCTCTCTCCAGAAAACTGTATAGACAACCAATGCTAATGAATAGAAATAGAGCATACTTGCTATCCCACTACCAGTAGAGGTGTAAGCATACCTCTAATTATGGCATGCAGATCAGTTACTCTCTTTATTTCACTCACATCTAAATATAATTAAGCATTTCATTTTTATTCTATTCCGTGAGTTGGTTAACATATTTATTTATTGTATTGGACAGAACACGGGGAATTACCAAGGCATTATTTGTTATAATCACTCAACCAAGATAATAGGTAACTGCAAATATAATATATTTAAAGATAAATTAAGAAAGTACCTAATCGAGAATGCATTCTACTCAGTTGGAGAATTTTTGGATGCCATACCAGGAGTAAATAATACAACTTAAACTTGAAAATTTTATTGTAAATTTTTATTGTAATTAAATTCTTTACTTAATTTTTATAACAAATTTTTAATCTGTTCTGTTGTAATGTTACATGGATAAATAGGTGGATGGAAGTAGGTAGATTGTGTCTAGTTGTGCATGGAGGTGTGGATGTTAAATTTTAATTTTTTTACTATAATTTTTATTGGGACTAGTCTGTAAGTTTTATAATATTATTAGAAATGATAATAATTTTAAACTTGTAAAGATACAATAAATATGAAATATTGCACTATTAATTTTAAGACCAATTTTTAATAAAATATCAGGAGAATATATTGACCCAGACAAAAGTTTGAATAGGAAGCATAGATCTAATTGAGTTCTCCGGTTCTGCAAAGTTGTGATTTCTAATCTGGAACATAGGTTAGCATAATCATAATCGTAATTATTTATACGCACTCCTAATTTATATGCTGAGCATCTCAGAAACTTATGTTGAACCGTTTCAAGTCTATTAATGTGAATGCAATAATAATGGTTCCACACAACAGCTGCATATTCCATATTAGAACGAACAAGAGTGCAGTAAAGAATTTTAAAAGAATTTATTGAGAGACCATTAGAGATTCTTTGTATATAACCCAACAACTTTCTGGCTTTTAATGATATCATTGTAATGTGTTCTGAAAAAGTAAGTATTTCATCAAACATTTGGTCCTTTATTTGGGCCACCAATTCAAGATCTAATGAATTGATACAATAAGTAGTCTATATTAGTATGGCACCTATTAAACTTAATATAAAAACATTTACTTAAATTCAAATTCATACAATTTACATTACACCACAATGCTAGGTTGTTAATATCAGTCTGTAAATCAAAACAATCAGATATACTTTCAACAATTTTAAAGATTTTTAAATCATCTGCAAATAGTAGGAACTGAGACTTTTTTTATACAACATGCAATGTCATTTACAAATAGATTAAAAAGAAGCGAACCACAATGGGATCCTTGAGGAACACCAGACAATACTTCAATCAAATAAGAAATGTGATTCCCAATTTTGACCCACTGATACCTACCAATTAAAAAACTAGATAGCCAATTTAAAAGTTTACCATTGATACCATATGAGCTCAACTTGGCGATCAACAATTCATGGTTAACGCTATCGAATGCTTTTGAGAAGTCAGTATAGACAGAATGTACTTGATACCCCCCTTCAAAAGCACTCAATATTTCATTTTGATAACTTAACAAGGCAGTTACTGTAGATTTTCCTTGTGAAAAACCATGTTGTTGATCAATTATTAGCCCTTTACATTCCCATGACAAATATTCTGTAATGAGTGAATCGAAAATTTTTGAAATGTTAGATTGCAAACATATTCCTCTGTAATTTTTAATGTAACGATTACATCCTGATTTATAAATTGGTCTTATAAAACTGTATTTCCAAAAATTCGGAAATACTCCTGAATCAAGTGAAATATTGTATAGAATCATATACTAATGCATTTTATTTTTTGTAATTTTTTTTTTAATTTTATGAGAAGCTTTTATGTTCTGTTTTGAGAATTATTTATTTTATTATACTGTCACCCCATGGAAGGAATGCATCTATCAAAAACTTGCAGGTTGCAGAAACCTCAACTCTTAGGGCTATAACAAAATTGAGACATCTGAGAAATCCACTCCATAATCTGTCAAACGATATGCTATATGGGAAAACAAAAACTCAACATATGGAAAGAAGACTCGCCAGCATGTCAGAAAAATACTACAAACGCCAACGAAATATCCTAGCAATACAGACCATGTGTAGAAACCAACAGATAAGACATCCACAAAGAACTCACTGGGAGCTCATTGAACACTATAGAAATATACATTAAAAACATTCATTTCATATTATCGGTTATTTTTTTATTTTGGTAATTTTTTTTTTGAGAACCATTATTTATATTTAAAAACAAACAGTAACGTAATACAACAAATTTAACATAATAGGCTGAAGGACTCCAGTTGATGGCCATTTGGTAATTGTGTAAAAGTTGTAGGATTGCCAATAAAGAGGCTTTTTTTTTGTTTATTTTTTATTTTATTTCCTTTAATATAGATTAGTCCTTTAAAAAAATAGTCATGATTTTTATTCAAACTCCCAATATTTTAAATGTGCTTTGGTATATCCAATTTTTAAATATTCCAATCTGGCTACCCTACACCCCTCTGAATTCTAGGCAAATAAAATAAATAAGAATTAAATAATACTAACCTGAATTTTTTTCTTTTTCAGTTTTTCTTTCTTTATCTTTTCTATCCTTGTCCTTATCTTTGGAGCTGGAATGATGCCTGTCTTTATCGCGATCCTTGCTTCTGTGCTTATCCTTCTCCTTAGAACCGCTATGCCGGTCTTTTTCCTTTTCCTTGTCCTTATCCCTGTTTTTATGCTTATCCCGGTCTTTATCTCTTTCCCTATCTTTATCTCTTTTTTCTTTATCCTTGTCCCTATCTCTTTCTTTATCTCTAGAGCTGCTTTTGTGGTCTTTATCTTGTGAGCTTTTATGGTCCCTATCTTTGTCTTTGGACGATTTTTTATCATCTCTGTGGCGGTCTTTATCCTTGTCTCTATGTCTGTCTTTTTCACTGCGTTCCCTATCCTTATCCTTGTCACTACGTTCTTTATCTTTGCTTGAAGATTTGTGAGAACTGCTGTGGCGATCTTTATCCTTAGAGCTGCTGTGATGCCTGTCTTTATCTTTGTCCCTATTTGAGCTCTTATGATCTTTACTTCGGTTCTTATCTTTATCTCTCTCCCTATCTTTATCCCTATGCCTATCTTTATCTTTGTGCTCGGATTTGTTACTTTTATGCTTCTCGGAATACCCGTTCAGGCCATTCACATGGCTTGAATCACCGTTTTCCCCTTTGTTTGCCTATATTCCATACAATGAAAATAAATTAATGATGCAAAAAACAGAAAAAAAAAATTATTAAATCATATTTTATCGTCTATTACACTTTAAAAACGAAAGTAGTAAAATAAATTATTAACACTCTCACAACTCGATACGTGGGACTTAGTTTCTGGACGCCATTTTCGGACTTAGAAAAATTTCGTTCACGCTGCCAAGCCACTAGTAAAGTAGCTTTAAATTAATAAAAACAGATATTCTGTGAAGGTACAAGTGTAGAAATAAAAAAAAATGATTTGAATATGAACTTACCGGGCTTGTTCCTTCTTCAGTAACAGAGTTTTCGACTTCCATTCCGGTACAGACTGCACAACTAAGTTATAACTTAGCCGTTTCACGACCGATCGGGAGATTGTCGATGTTCGAGAAAGCAACAAGCAACGTTTTCCGTCTAAGTGCTAAATCTTGCTTTTGCGCAGACTCCGGTGAAGGCAATAACCTTTCAGGCGCGAACATTTAAAATATCGTGCTTCGATTGATTGCCAGTCAATGTAAAATGTCAAATGTACAAAGATTGCTCGTAAAATAAATTTGCTAGTTAGAAAAATATATGGTTTGACTACTACAAGGCATACCAGTTGCGATTCTTGCATGTAAATAAAACACATGATATATTATTTTTATTTACTCAACTATTTGCATTAAATAAACCGAAAACGAACGAAGTTTTATTGACAAATATGTACACAGAAATTTGTTACCATGACTATTAATACAAATAAAAAATTTTTAGCCTACTTAGTGCCATTTTTAATTATTTCTAAAAAATACAATAATTATTTCGACGTCACATTCGATTCAAAACCTTTTTATTTTTCTATCTTCAAAACGTTTTAATTTATTTACAGTCTTTTGCGCCATCTATTGAGAGATGTCTTAAACTGTGTCTAATTTTATCTAGGCATTTTTTATATCGACGAATCGACAGCATTGCCATTGATAAAGAAATTTCTCTAAACCTGGGGAAAATCTGCAATCAATAGGGGAAACCGGGAAATTGTCTACCTATACCATATACAGGGTGTATCCGAACTTGGCGTCCAAATTTGTAGGGGTGGTAGTTCGCATAATTTGAGAGCGATTGGCAGATTTCATTTTTCTAAAAAATTATAATAAACAAAATAGAGCCATTATAAGAAAAATCAAAAAGCTGGTCCTACCCTGAGCGCGTAGCGCAAATAGTTGCCTGGATAGCTATTCACTAGGTGAGTTCGGGCTGCGCACTCCAGAGTGGAGTGTAGTAATTAGGCGTAAACGGAGTGCGAATATGATTTTACTCCTTTAACTCTCGGAGTGAAATGTCAATTGTCAATGTGACATACCAGTACTTAAAATTTAATCGTACTTGTCAGTAACCACCGTATAAGTTTCTTCCATATTAATGATATTCACGGGAACCAAAAAAAAAATTTATTTACTAAAGAATCGCTCACAATTAACTTATTATCAATTTAAATCACCTTATGCGCATGCCTGATCCACACTCCACTCCACCATCTCCGAACGGTCAAAGAGGAACTTTTATTTTAACTCCTTCCGTACCCGAACGCCTTAGGTACTTTAGGAGTGAATATAGTGAAAAGAGTGCGTAGACCGAACTCACCAACTAAGTCATGGGAGCGCTCCCATGGGAGTGCTCCCATATATTTTGCTCTCTTACTCTTAGGTGGGTATATCGTGCTTACTCACTTTTAGCCCAGGTACATGCGTAGTAAGGTCAGATTTTATACTATGGGAGGGAGAATTGCGGGCTTGCCAGATTAGGTCCGTATTTATCACAAAGCAAATTTGAATTACTAAGGGCTGATTCCACCGTTGAGTTAAACGGAGATTAAAATGACATTGTTAATGTAAAAATGTCATTTTAAACTTCGTTTAACACAACGGTGGATCGGTCCTTAAATAGTAGATCAAAGTTATTCTGTCGACTTGGCAACGTTGGCATGGGAGTATGGGAGCATGGGAGTGTGGGAGTGCTCCCATGAGTTAGAGAATAGGTATCCTGATCGGTACTTATCGGGATTTAAAACTCAAAAACAGAGGCGATTTGCAAATTTCTCCCTTCGCCCGGCCGGTATCGAAAGACGTAGCCGATTGTTTTTCTAGTGCGTATTGCTCTAGGCGTTCCCATCGCTGTACAGGACCGTACCTGTTTAAACATTTTTAATTAATTTTTAATTATTTTTATTTTAAATATTTTGGAAAAATGAAATCCGCCAATCGCTCTCAAATTATGCGAACTACCACCCCTACAAATTTGGACGCCAAGTTCGAAAACACCCTGTATAGTCTTTTTTTATAACACTCATCAGAGTTTTATTTCCTATGTATTTATATTGTGCATTTGTTGAATAAAAAATTAATCATGTTTATAGAAAAAATATTATTAAAAAAAGGACATATCTTTTTTTCACACGTTTTTTTTTTAATTTCCAAATAAAAAGATCTTTGGAAAATCTGGGGAACTTTTGAGAACTTATCTAAGGAAATAAACATTTTGGACGTGGCAACGCTGAACGACATTTAAAAATGATGCAAATATAGTAATATAGGTTAGGTTAAGTTTCAAAATTCAAAATAGAAAATAAGTGTAGTATAAAAACAATTTTCAGAATGATATAAATGTTAAATGATGGATAAACTATTGAAAACTAATATTAAAATAGTAACTTTATTATTTAAACTATATAAAACAGTAAATAAATACATTTTTTTAGGTAACCCGACTATTATTTGAGGGAATTGTAAAACCAACCGAATTAGTTAATTTATCTTTAAAGAAAATAGCTGAAGAGAAACATTTCAATGCCTTTATAACAGTGACGTCAAAAGAAGCTAAATTTTTGGCCGAAAAATGTGAAAAAAGATATTTAGAAAAAAAACCTGTCTCTGATTTAGATGGTGTTCCTATTGCAATAAAGGACAATTTTTGTACAGAAAATATTAAAACAACATGTGCTTCAAAAATGTTAGAGAACTTTGTTCCTGCCTACAATGCTACCGTTTGTCAAAGATTGTTAGATGCGGGGGCAGTTTTAGTAGGCAAAACCAATTTAGACCAATTCGCTATGGGTTCTGCTACTATAGATTCTTCACATGGACCTACGAAGAATATTTGGAAATTTGATAATGAAAACTTTTATATTGCAGGAGGTAGTAGTGGAGGTAGTGCTGTAGCAGTGGCAACTGGTACATGTTTTGCGTGAGTATTGACAGGTACTTAACAAATTTCAAAATTGGTACAAGTAAATTTCCTTTGCAGAGCATAGTTTCAAATAAAAACGAGGAGAACAACATAGCTAGCTCATTAAATAAATTCTCATACAGTCATTTGATTTAAAATTACAGGGTAAAATGTACTTGAAAAAGGGAATGTTCAATTGAATTCGACTATCATAATGAGTAAAAAATGCATTAAAATTATTTGTTGGTGATAAAAAGAAAACTATTGCTTTTTAAAACAGTTTTTCTTTCCTTAAAAGGTTACAAGCATGTACAATACTCTTTCCACATCTCCCAAAATAGTAAAAGTGCTCTAAAAAAACTATTAAAATTACGTATTTTTCTATTACCCTTGAAGTACATACAGTGTGTCCCAGTGGTGAAGTGTCCATTCATGTGGGTGATGCGTCTCATCCCTTCAAAATATTGTAAGCTAATGTTTATTTATTTATTTACGGGATTGCCCCTATTACAAAAATGTACAGTATAACAATTTAAATATATCTTTATTGACTACATAAAAACCACATTAAAATATATTGCAACACAAATAATCAAAAGGGTATTAATTAAAGAAAAAAAAAATGTTAATCAAAAGTATTGATTACAAAACGTTCACGCTTTTTTTTTGTTTATTTTTAAATTGTAGAAATGTGATAGACTTTTACGTTTTTTACTCAACCCATTCATGGTAAGAGTTCTTAATACCGCTGTATAAGCATGATCAGTGACATCTATATTTAATCTTAAAGCACAGTATCTTTAAAACGTATTCTGAACTCTTTCTAGTATTGTGTAGTGATTTTTATATTGTGGAGACCATACAATAGCTGAGTATTGTAGTTTCGAAACAAGGAAAAATATACTATTCTTATAGTATATTTAACATTACTATGATTTTAAAAACGCTGATTATAGAGGTTTGAATAACTATTTAGCACCAATTAATTGGGAAAAAATTCTCATTGAAACCAATATTAACTCAAGTATAACTAAGTTTTATCAAATAATCAATAATGCATTAGCCTTATTTGTCCCAATAAAACTACGAAAACAATCTACTTTCCCGGTTTGGTTCAGTCCTGAACTTAAACAACTTATCTGGCAAAAAAAGAGGGCTCATGCAAAATACAAAAGTACTTTCAATTATGACGACTATTTACAATTTTCAAGTTTAAGATGCAGGTGTAAGACTTTATCCAATGAGTGCTATGCTATTTATATAAACAATGTTAATAGGTCAATTTCAAATGATCCTCGTCAATTCTGGTCTTACTTTAATTCAATAAAAAAAAGTTCTCAACTCCCAGATCAAATGACACTGGACGACAAAATAGGTAACGATGGTAAATCTATTTCTACGCTATTTGCTGAATATTTTTCTAAAAATTATATTATTAATCATAAATTAAACCCAGATAACTATCATTTAAATTTTTCCTCCTCAGTTGATATTGGACCCATATGTTTTTCCATTGAGGATATATTTAATGGTATTGGTTCCTTAAGTGATAAACTAAGCAGTGGTCCTGATGGAATTCCATCGTACTTCCTAAAACATTGCATTAACTCTTTATGCAAACCACTACATATAATGTTTAATTTATCACTAAAACTTCAACAATTTCCTAACTCATGGAAAGAGAGTCATGTTATACCTGTATTCAAAAGCGGATCCAAGCAGGAAATTCAGAACTACAGACCTATTTCGATTCAATCCTCGATTCCAAAATTATTGGAGAAGCTGGTAAATAATTGTTTATCTTGGCACTGCAAAAACTTACTTACTGATCAGCAGCACGGTTTTACAAAAGGAAAATCTACTACAACTAATCTTGTTATCTATCACAATTACATAATAAATTCTGTAGTAAACGGTTTGCAAGTAGATGCCATATATTCAGACTTTTCTAAAGCCTTCGATCAAGTCAATCACGAATTACTATTACTCAAACTGCAAGCCTACGGATTCCCTCCCTTTCTTCTAGAGTGGCTTAAAAGTTATCTCATTGGTAGAGTGCAGCGTGTCAAAATAAAGAATTATTTGTCTGATCCCATAAAAGTTTCTTCTGGTGTACCGCAAGGGGCCCACTTAGCTCCATTACTTTTTAATCTATTCATTAATGATGTTGGATCTGTTTTTGAATATAGTAATTATCTGCTATTTGCTGACGATTTAAAGATTTACTTAAAGATTAACAGTGGTGATTGCTGTAATAATATTGAAAAAGATTTCCATGCCTTATGTAAATGGTCTTCCTCTAATGGTCTAACCCTAAACACTAGTAAGTGTTACTGCATTACTTTTACAAAAAATCATAATCAAATAACACATAACTACTCTCTGAATAACAATACATTAATTAAACGTGTTACCGAAATTAAAGACCTGGGAATCGTGTTTTGCTCAGATCTTTCGTTTAATAATCATATCAATCTTATAGTTAATAGAGCAATGAAAATGTTAGGCATGCTGATAAGAAACTCTAGATCGTTATCTTTAGATGCCTGTAGAATGGTTTATATTGCATATGTGCGGTCCATTTTGGAGTACAGCTCTACCATATGGTGTCCATTTTACATAAACTCTGTAAAAAGGATTGAAAATGTCCAAAATAAATATCTACGATATTGTGCCTTTAAAGTTGGTCTAGCAGCAGGTACATATAATTATTCCACAATTCTGGATTTAATAAACCTCCCAACCCTTGTTAATAGAAGAATATTGATGGATCTATCATTCCTCCATAAGATCATAGCCGGGATTATTACTTCTGATGAGTTATTAGCTATGATTGAATTTAGAGTTCCCACAAGAACTACAAGAAATAATAGTTTATTTGCCATTCAACTTCACCTTACCAATTATGCTTATCATGCACCTCTACCTAGACTAATGCGACTGGCTAATCAATACAATTTAGACATCACTGGGTGTTCTATTAGTCAATTTGTGAAGGATGTAAAGAGAATTTGTTTTTAATATCTTTAGTTTAGTTTATTACATTTCATATATGAAATTTTAGATTTATTGTGCCTACCTTTTTTTTTTTTTTTAATGTACTTAAGCTATTTTATTTTATGTAATTTATTGATACTAATGGATTATTCCGTAATATATATATTTATTTATTTATTTATATTTATTTATTTATTTAGATAGATAAATCACGACAGTTTCGTAAAACAAAGCTTAAAATCTTAGAGGATTCAACTGCAAGTCGCTTTATATGCTCCACAAAACGCAATTGCTCATCAAACACCACTCCCAAGCCCTTAATTGATGTCACATAAGACAGTTGATCCCCGTACATTGAATAATGACTGATACATTTTTTATTTATTTTATAAAAACTTATAAAACAACACTTATTCACATTCACATGCAATTTGTTTTTAGAAACACCAATTATTTAAATTATTTAGTTCCTCCTGAATTAAAGTCATATCTTCAAATGATTGTAGCTGTCCATAAAATTTAAAATCATCAGCAAATATTAAAACCTCCGTTGTATTTTAAGCAATCTATAATATTGACAAATATGTTAAACAGCAAAGGTGAACAATAAGCTCCCTGCGGTACTCCAGAAGGTACTTTAATAGAATTTGATTTAAAACTGTCTATTCCATTTGTTGTGTGCGACCCGTCGAAAAACTTTGAACCATTCTAAAGACTGAAAAGGAAAGCCAATCTTAGTTTTTATATCATAATGACCTTTTTCTTACAATACAGTTATTATTTTTTGCTAAAAAATTTATAAATTAGTAATAGTTTATTTGTTCTGAGAAAAGCCATGTTAATTACTTATCAATCTCTCTTTGCAATGTAATTTTAACTGGTCGCTCCAAAAGTTTAGGGAGAGACGATTGATGACAAACACTATGATATTTTGTTATGTCTCCTGATACTGGAGTTTTGTAAGTGTGCTTCCATAAAGAAGGTACAATACGAGTTTCCAGAGATTATTTAAAAAGAAGATAAATAGGATGTGTTAATAATATATAATAAATACTTTTCTTTTAAAAATTTAGTTTGAATTAAAATCAACATCTCTTATAATAAATTGAAACTAAATGCGCATTCCATAAGATATCTGTCTATATTTACAAATAAATAGTAAATTTTAATAAAACTATCTAAAACCAATTTAATTATGAGTAAAATAACAAAAGTTAGTTGGCTCGTTACTTAGAATACAGATTTGTCATGTGAAAGGTTAAGGGTTCAAATCCAGAATAGAACATTAAGGTGGCAGTTTAAAACGACCTCCTCAACGATCAGTAGCCGTTACATATCTTATATTCGAACCCGTAATAACAGCGATAAACCAAAAACGTTCTCAAAACTGTTTTCCATAATTTGGACCGAAGTTTCTGCTACTGACTCTCAGGTGATCGTATTTTGTGCACTCGACGGATATATTGCAGTGATGCCGATCCATATTATAAATCCCCGGATCTTATTTTTTCGTAAAAATAGAAATAGTATTGGCACAAAAATATTTTATTAAAATGCATCTTCGTTTTAAAAATAACGGAATTTAGAAATGGAAGGGGACTGAGGCTTAACATTAGCACTATATATCAGGCCAATGTAAAGAACTGGTGTATTTTTTAATTACGACAAGCATTAGGTTTTACATGATAATATTAATAGGATATTTTGAAGATGCTCCAAAAAAATTACTATATTTTTTATATCTCAATATATTTTTAAAAAGTGGTCGCTAACGGACGTATTGATTATACTATGCTCTTTGACATTAGTATACCACGAAAATGATATTAAAAAATAATATGATCTAACTCTGTACGAAATATACAGTATTCCAACTATTCATTATCATGGGCATCGTTACACAATTCTATAGGGAGGGGCAACATTTTGAAAACAATTAGAATATTTATTTGTTAAAAAATAAAAAACAAACAAAAATAAAGGGGTAATACAAAATAACAAAGCATCTTTAATACAAACAA